GTTGGTCTTCCTGTCTGCGAGATTGGTCTTCCTGTCTGCGAGGTTGGTCTTCCTGTCTGCGAGGTTGGTCGTCCTGTCTGCGAGGTTGGTCGTCCTGTCTGCGAGGTTGGTCGTCCTGTCTGCGAGGTTGGTCGTCCTGTCTGCGAGGTTGGTCGTCCTGTCTGCGAGGTTGGTCGTCCTGTCTGCGAGGTTGGTCGTCCTGTCTGCGAGGTTGGTCGTCCTGTCTGCGAGGTTGGTCGTCCTGTCTGCGAGGTTGGTCGTCCTGTCTGCGAGGTTGGTCGTCCTGTCTGCGAGGTTGGTCTTCCTGTCTGCGAGGTTGGTCGTCCTGTCTGCGAGGTTGGTCTTCCTGTCTGCGAGGTTGGTCTTCCTGTCTGCGAGGTTGGTCTTCCTGTCTGCGAGGTTGGTCGTCCTGTCTGCGAGGTTGGTCGTCCTGTCTGCGAGGTTGGTCGTCCTGTCTGCGAGGTTGGTCGTCCTGTCTGCGAGGTTGGTCGTCCTGTCTGCGAGGTTGGTCTTCCTGTCTGCGAGGTTGGTCTTCCTGTCTGCGAGGTTGGTCTTCCTGTCTGCGAGGTTGGTCGTCCTGTCTGCGAGGTTGGTCGTCCTGTCTGCGAGGTTGGTCTTCCTGTCTGCGAGGTTGGTCGTCCTGTCTGCGAGGTTGGTCGTCCTGTCTGCGAGGTTGGTCGTCCTGTCTGCGAGGTTGGTCTTCCTGTCTGCGAGGTTGGTCTTCCTGTCTGCGAGGTTGGTCGTCCTGTCTGCGAGGTTGGTCGTCCTGTCTGCGAGGTTGGTCGTCCTGTCTGCGAGGTTGGTCGTCCTGTCTGCGAGGTTGGTCGTCCTGTCTGCGAGGTTGGTCTTCCTGTCTGCGAGGTTGGTCGTCCTGTCTGCGAGGTTGGTCTTCCTGTCTGCGAGGTTGGTCTTCCTGTCTGCGAGGTTGGTCGTCCTGTCTGCGAGGTTGGTCTTCCTGTCTGCGAGGTTGGTCTTCCTGTCTGCGAGGTTGGTCGTCCTGTCTGCGAGGTTGGTCGTCCTGTCTGCGAGGTTGGTCGTCCTGTCTGCGAGGTTGGTCTTCCTGTCTGCGAGGTTGGTCTTCCTGTCTGCGAGGTTGGTCTTCCTGTCTGCGAGGTTGGTCGTCCTGTCTGCGAGGTTGGTCGTCCTGTCTGCGAGGTTGGTCGTCCTGTCTGCGAGGTTGGTCGTCCTGTCTGCGAGGTTGGTCGTCCTGTCTGCGAGGTTGGTCGTCCTGTCTGTGAGGTTGGTCTTCCTGTCTGCGAGGTTGGTCTTCCTGTCTGCGAGGTTGGTCGTCCTGTCTGCGAGGTTGGTCTTCCTGTCTGCGAGGTTGGTCGTCCTGTCTGCGAGGTTGGTCGTCCTGTCTGCGAGGTTGGTCGTCCTGTCTGCGAGGTTGGTCGTCCTGTCTGCGAGGTTGGTCTTCCTGTCTGCGAGGTTGGTCGTCCTGTCTGCGAGGTTGGTCTTCCTGTCTGCGAGGTTGATCTTCCTGTCTGCGAGGTTGGTCGTCCTGTCTGCGAGGTTGGTCTTCCTGTCTGCGAGGTTGGTCGTCCTGTCTGCGAGGTTGGTCTTCCTGTCTGCGAGGTTGGTCTTCCTGTCTGCGAGGTTGGTCGTCCTGTCTGCGAGGTTGGTCGTCCTGTCTGCGAGGTTGGTCTTCCTGTCTGCGAGGTTGGTCGTCCTGTCTGCGAGGTTGGTCGTCCTGTCTGCGAGGTTGGTCTTCCTGTCTGCGAGGTTGGTCTTCCTGTCTGCGAGGTTGGTCGTCCTGTCTGCGAGGTTGGTCGTCCTGTCTGCGAGGTTGGTCGTCCTGTCTGCGAGGTTGGTCGTCCTGTCTGCGAGGTTGGTCGTCCTGTCTGCGAGGTTGGTCGTCCTGTCTGCGAGGTTGGTCGTCCTGTAGTAGTGAAATATGTGACTAGAACCGTGCGCCACACCTGGGCCAGGTGAGCCAGCTGTGACCACCTGGGCCAGGTGAGCCAGCTGTGGCCACCTGGGCCAGGAGAGCCAGCTGTGGCCACCTGGGCCAGGAGAGCCAGCTATGGCCACCTGGGCAGCTGTGGCCATCTGGGCCAGCTGGTCCAGCTGGGCGCGAGGGATCCGTCTCAAGGGGTGAGAGGTGCTCCCCCCCCCCCCTGCTCGTGTGGTTCTAGTCACAGTGAGTGTTTAATGTAGTGTATGGTTAGGATAGGGTGAGTATGTGAGCAGGTGTGCAGGTATGTGTGGCATGTTTGCAGGTGTGTATGTTAAAGTGCAAGTAAGGGAGAGTGTTGAAAGTGTATGTAATGCAAGTGTAGAGTTGTACAGGTGTGTATGCTTGGAGTGTTAAGCATGGGCCTCTAGGTCTAAGCATGGAGGTCTCTAGAGTTAAGCATAATAGGCTACGAGACCGGGTGTGGTATGTGGCAGGTTAGGTTAGGGTTGTCGAGAAGGGCGATGGCCCGCGGTAAGCTTTGAAGATGAACCTCTGGGAACAAGAGGGTAGCAGACTAGCAGTAGACAGGGGACCTACCATCCCAGGAGGGCTGGACTAGCAGTAGACAGGGGACCTACCATCCCAGGAGGGCTGGACTAGCAGTAGACAGGAGTACCTACCATCCCAGGAGGGCTGGACTAGCAGTAGACAGGGGACCTACTATCCCAGGAGGGCTGGACTAGCAGTAGACAGGGGACCTACCATCCCAGGAGGGCTGGACTAGCAGTAGACAGGAGACCTACCATCCCAGGAGGGCTGGACTAGCAGTAGACAGGGGACCTACCATCCCAGGAGGGCTGGACTAGCAGTAGACAGGAGTACCTACCATCCCAGGAGGGCTGGACTAGCAGTAGACAGGAGACCTACCATCCCAGGAGGGCTGGACTAGCAGTAGACAGGGGACCTACCATCCCAGGAGGGCTGGACTAGCAGTAGACAGGGGACCTACCATCCCAGGAGGGCTGGACTAGCAGTAGACAGGGGACCTACCATCCCAGGAGGGCTGGACTAGCAGTAGACAGGGGACCTACCATCCCAGGAGGGCTGGACTAGCAGTAGACAGGAGACCTACCATCCCAGGAGGGCTGGACTAGCAGTAGACAGGGGACCTACCATCCCAGGAGGGCTGGACTAGCAGTAGACAGGAGACCTACCATCCCAGGAGGGCTGGACTAGCAGTAGACAGGGGACCTACCATCCCAGGAGGGCTGGACTAGCAGTAGACAGGGGACCTACCATCCCAGGAGGGCTGGACTAGCAGTAGACAGGGGACCTACCATCCCAGGAGGGCTGGACTAGCAGTAGACAGGGGACCTACCATCCCAGGAGGGCTGGACTAGCAGTAGACAGGAGACCTACCATCCCAGGAGGGCTGGACTAGCAGTAGACAGGGGACCTACCATCCCAGGAGGGCTGGACTAGCAGTAGACAGGAGACCTACCATCCCAGGAGGGCTGGACTAGCAGTAGACAGGGGACCTACCATCCCAGGAGGGCTGGACTAGCAGTAGACAAGGGACCTACCATCCCAGGAGGGCTGGACTAGCAGTAGACAGGAGACCTACCATCCCAGGAGGGCTGGACTAGCAGTAGACAGGGGACCTACCATCCCAGGAGGGCTGGACTAGCAGTAGACAGGAGACCTACCATCCCAGGAGGGCTGGACTAGCAGTAGACAGGGGACCTACCATCCCAGGAGGGCTGGACTAGCAGTAGACAGGGGACCTACCATCCCAGGAGGGCTGGACTAGCAGTAGACAGGAGTACCTACCATCCCAGGAGGGCTGGACTAGCAGTAGACAGGGGACCTACCATCCCAGGAGGGCTGGACTAGCAGTAGACAGGGGACCTACCATCCCAGGAGGGCTGGACTAGCAGTAGACAGGAGTACCTACCATCCCAGGAGGGCTGGACTAGCAGTAGACAGGGGACCTACCATCCCAGGAGGGCTGGACTAGCAGTAGACAGGGGACCTACCATCCCAGGAGGGCTGGACTAGCAGTAGACAGGGGACCTACCATCCCAGGAGGGCTGGACTAGCAGTAGACAGGGGACCTACCATCCCAGGAGGGCTGGACTAGCAGTAGACAGGGGACCTACCATCCCAGGAGGGCTGGACTAGCAGTAGACAGGAGTACCTACCATCCCAGGAGGGCTGGACTAGCAGTAGACAGGGGACCTACCATCCCAGGAGGGCTGGACTAGCAGTAGACAGGAGTACCTACCATCCCAGGAGGGCTGGACTAGCAGTAGACAGGGGACCTACCATCCCAGGAGGGCTGGACTAGCAGTAGACAGGGGACCTACCATCCCAGGAGGGCTGTACTAGCAGTAGACGGGACCTACCATCCCAGGAGGGCTGGACTAGCAGTAGACAGGGGACCTACCATCCCAGGAGGGCTGGACTAGCAGTAGACAGGGGACCTACCATCCCAGGAGGGCTGGACTAGCAGTAGACAGGGGACCTACCATCCCAGGAGGGCTGGACTAGCAGTAGACAGGAGACCTACCATCCCAGGAGGGCTGGACTAGCAGTAGACAGGGGACCTACCATCCCAGGAGGGCTGGACTAGCAGTAGACAGGGGACCTACCATCCCAGGAGGGCTGGACTAGCAGTAGACAGGGGACCTACCATCCCAGGAGGGCTGGACTAGCAGTAGACAGGGGACCTACCATCCCAGGAGGGCTGGACTAGCAGTAGACAGGGGACCTACCATCCCAGGAGGGCTGGACTAGCAGTAGACAGTGGACCTACCATCCCAGGAGGGCTGGACTAGCAGTAGACAGGGGACCTACCATCCCAGGAGGGCTGGACTAGCAGTAGACAGGGGACCTACCATCCCAGGAGGGCTGGACTAGCAGTAGACAGGGGACCTTCCATCCCAGGAGGGCTGGACTAGCAGTAGACAGGGGACCTACCATCCCAGGAGGGCTGGACTAGCAGTAGACAGTGGACCTACCATCCCAGGAGGGCTGGACTAGCAGTAGACAGGAGTACCTACCATCCCAGGAGGGCTGGACTAGCAGTAGACAGGGGACCTACCATCCCAGGAGGGCTTGGCTGGGGAGGACGAGAGCGAACACCTTCCACGACCACTTGAGTCTGGAGATCTGAGACATTCTCCGTCGTTCATGTCTGAGGATAAATATCAATATTAGTTGCATCAATTATTTGTTACACACAAAAATCACAATAGCGTGATGCATCAAATGAACAAATCCACAAGGGCCGTGATGAGGGTTCGAACCTGCATTCGAGAGGATCCCAGACGATGCCTTAATCGACTGAGCTACGTTTGTGTCTCGGAGAGGCTGCATGATCCGAGTAAGGGAAGGAGAACTTCCTGTTGCAATTTTTTTACCACGTCGTAGCTCAGTGGATTAAGGCAGCGTCCCGTGACAGTCTCGTGAGCCTAGTTACAAAATTGTTAATATTACATGCACATGTACATATATACATACATACATGTCCTTGACAGCAAAAACAACATTGACATTATTTTATTGATTCCAATTGTGATGCCAGTAACCCCTAGCGGTCTGTGGTCGTCCTGAACGGCTTCCCGCTCCTTCAGGACGCGTCTCAACCTTCTCTCTGACAAGAGTTGGAGCAAATACTGCCACACTGCCTACTGTAGTTGACTACAGGAAAGTTAAACGTCCGACCGTTAGTAATTTTGGGGAGGTTGCTGTTGGGCTTAAGGCCCACCAACGGTGGGAGGGTTATCATGGCCCACCAACGGTGGGAGGGTTATCATGGCCCACCAACGGTGGGAGGGTTATCATGGCCCACCAACGGTGGGAGGGTTATCATGGCCCACCAACAGTGGGAGGGTTATCATGGCCCACCAACAGTGGGAGGGTTATCATGGCCCACCAACGGTGGGAGGGTTATCATGGCCCACCAACGGTGGGAGGGTTATCATGGCCCACCAACGGTGGGAGGGTTATCATGGCCCACCAACGGTGGGAGGGTTATCATGACCCACCAACTACTTATTAAAGCTTAAGATCACCACAATAACTTATCAACCAAACATGTATACTTTAGTCCTAAACATTGTCTTGGACTGAGGTAAACTCAGTGACTCCCTTTCCTCACTACGAGCAATAATCAGTTTGCAATCAAGTAATAACGTGCTTGTCTTGGAAGCTAGACGTATATATATAAGAATACTTAGCAAGAGGGTAAATATAAAAATGTTGTGGATTCCTTCTCACATTGGCCTGCAGGAACATGACAAAGTTGACGCCCTTGCTAAGGCTGCAGTAAATAAAGACAGTATTGAACGGAATCTTGAGTTATCAAATAGGTCCCTTAAAAGTGTCATTAGACAAGAACTCCGGGATGGATTTGAAGAAAGTAGAACAGTGCAAACTGGAACTAGCAGGTCCATTGTTTATCACAATGAAATGTGTGAAGTAAAACATGTGTATGGGGCAAGTAACAAAGTCAGTAGACTAACAGATGTTGTCACAGCTCGTATAAGACTTGGCTACAAGTATCTCTGGCAGTTGGGCTTGTATAGGGATCTAGATGAAGTAAAGTGTAAAGTGTGTGGACAAAGACAGGGACACACACTCGAACACTATATCTTGGATTGTAGTAAAATTGAGCCATTTAGAGATAAATCTAAGCTCACTCTGTATGATATGGCAACCTATCTTATTACCATGGATAAATTACCTGAAATCCTTGCACTGTATCCACATTTTGCTTCCAGTAGATGAACGACATATGAGATTCAGAAACAAATAGTGTATTGTGAGGACTAATAATAAACAGAAGCTCCCCTATGACTCTGTAATATCCCCATTGGTCAAACTATTATGTATTAACGATAAGACCTACCATTAATGTATGATGACTTACTGTAAATATGTAGCTCTTGTAATAGCACTTTCTCTGTAACTAGCTGACATTGTAACTATAAGGTGTGAAGGATAGATGAAATTGTTTATGTAATAATCTAAGATGAGGTCTGATAAAGACCTTTTGTGCCCTCTGCAATGCTTTTGCGCTACCGCTCACAGGATGAGTATGGGGTGCACAATAAACTACCGCTCACAGCTGGAGTATGGGGTGCACAATAAACTACCGCTCACAGCAGGAGTATGGGGTGCACAATAAACTACTGCTCACAGGACGAGTATGGGGTGCACAATAAACTACCGCTCACAGGATGAGTATGGGGTGCACAATAAACTACCGCTCACAGCATGAGTATGGGGTGCACAATAAACTACCACTCACAGCATGAGTATGGGGTGCACAATAAACTACCGCTCACAGCATAAGTATGGGGTGCACAATAACGAGGCTTGAATGGTCATCTCGCTCACAAACTGTCTCCTGGTTGAGTTTCCAGCATCGTCCTCCTAAAGTAAACGGACAATTTAAAGTAGTCTCTCCTAACCTGCCGGAGGACCTAAAACAGAAAACGGGACAGTAAGTCCCTTTCGCCAGCCGCTTCCATTTTCTAGTACGACGATTTTTGGCCTTATGTGTCGCCTACGTGCGAAAAGCGACGTTCTTTGTAGGAGGACAGGTTGTAGGAGGACAGGTTGTAAGAGGACAGGTTGTAGGAGGACAGGTTGTAAGAGGACAGGTTGTAAGAGGACAGGTTGTAGGAGGACAGGTTGTAAGAGGGCAGGTTGCAGGAGGACAGGTTGTAAGAGGACAGGTTGTAAGAGGACAGGTTGTAGGAGGACAGGTTGTAGGAGGATAGGTTGTAGGAGGACAGGTTGTAAGAGGGCAGGTTGTAGGAGGACAGGTTGTAGGAGGACAGGTTGTAAGAGGACAGGTTGTAGGAGGACAGGTTGTAGGAGGATAGGTTGTAGGAGGACAGGTTGTAGGAGGACAGGTTGTAAGAAGACAGGTTGTAAGAAGACAGGTTGTAAGAAGACAGGTTGTAAGAGGACAGGTTGTAAGAGGACAGGTTGTAAGAGGACAGGTTGTAGGAGGACAGGTTGTAGGAGGACAGGTTGTAAGAAGACAGGTTGTAAGAAGACAGGTTGTAAGAGGACAGGTTGTAAGAGGGCAGGTTGTAAGAGGACAGGTTGTAAGAGGACAGGTTGTAAGAGGGCAGGTTGTAAGAGGACAGGTTGTAAGAGGGCAGGTTGTAGGAGGACAGGTTGTAGGAGGACAGGTTGTAAGAAGACAGGTTGTAAGAAGACAGGTTGTAAGAGGACAGGTTGTAAGAGGGCAGGTTGTAAGAGGACAGGTTGTAAGAGGACAGGTTGTAGGAGGACAGGTTGTAGGAGGACAGGTTGTAGGAGGACAGGTTGTAGGAGGACAGGTTGTAGGAGGACAGGTTGTAGGAGGACAGGTTGTAGGAGGACAGGTTGTAGGAGGAAAGGTTGTAAGAAGACAGGTTGTAAGAGGACAGGTTGTACACACATTAATACCATAACTGTTTCAAGTCTCTCACTGCCACAAATCACAATTTATTTTTATTCATTTATAGATCAATTATTTGTGCAGATTAATAAAAAAAATGTGGCAATAGATGCACATTGTATATATTCATAAATTTTGGTGAATTCAGCCAGATATCACGCATCCAACACTGATTATAGCTGTCCTGTTTTCCGCAACAACCTATTTATATACATTAGCGTATCCAACACTGATTATAGCTGTCCTGTTCTCCGCAACAACCTATTTATATACATTAGCGTATCCAACACTGATTATAGCTTTCCTGTTCTCCGCAACAACCTATTTATATACATTAGCGTATCCAACACTGATTATAGCTGTCCTGTTCTCCGCAACAACCTATTTATATACATTAGCGTATCCAACACTGATTATAGCTGTCCTGTTCTCCGCAACAACCTATCTCTATACATTAGCGTATCCAACACTGATTATAGCTGTCCTGTTCTCCGCAACAACCTATCTCTATACATTAGCGTACCCAAATCAATGTTCAAACACAATAAAGAGGTTCACAAGACATAACACGAACACGGAACAACAAGATACTCCAGTATTTGCAGGCGAGGAGTCACAATAACGTGGCTGAAGTATGTTGACCAGACCACACACTAGAAGGTGAAGGGACGACGACGTTTCGGTCCGTCGTGGGCCATTCTCAAGTCCGTTCTCTGGACTTGAGAATGATCCAGGGGCCAGATTCACGAAAGCACTTACGAACGTGTACATTTTTTCTCAATCTTTGGCGGCTTTGTTTACAATTATTAAACAGTTAATGAGCTCCGAAGCACCAGGAGGCTGTTTATAACAATAACAACAGTTGATTGGCAAGTTTTCATGCTTGTAAACTGTTTAATAAATGTAACCAAAGCCGATAAAGATTGAGGAAAGATGTACACGTTCGTAAGTATTTGTGTAAGTGCTTTCGTGAATCTGGCTCCAGGACGGACCGAAACGTCGCCGTCCCTTCACCTTCTAGTGTGGTCAACATACTCCAGTATCTGAAGGGTATACTGACCGGTAGAAGTTGAAGCCGTTGGTGACCCAGCCGGCGAGGCAGAAGATGGCCAGAGTAAGGCCGCCGTACAGGGTGGAGGCGTCCGTGCCCCGCCGGAGGTGGAGGGCGGCGCACGCCACCACCAGCCCCACCTCCACCACGTACAGCACCAGCACCACCACGGGCGGCAGCACGCCCGCACGCACCACCATCTCTACAACATTAATGGTTGTACCTCACATTAACAACAATATATAATATAATGGAGAGCGTTATCATTTCATAGGAAAACATTTTAAAAAATATATACATATTATATATATATATATATATATATATATATATATATATATATATATATATATATATATATATATATATATATATATATATATATATATATATGTTTCATTGAATATGACCGCATATTCTGTATTTATTATTTTCTGGTTTAGGGCTTCTATCCCTCGAACTATTTTCTTAGCATCAGGGCTTATTTGAAATAGGAGTTCTCCAAAACTCATTTTCGTACTTTTAAGGTGAAGAAAAGAAGTGATTTACTATAGAGTGTATTACACTTATTTGTATAATTTGCACGACGTTTCGAACCTCCATGGTTCATTCTCAAGTGAACAGATCTTACAATACTAGTTGATTTTATACCCGCATTAGGTCAGGTGATAATATAATGAAGGTGAAAACATGGGGGGATACATAAGGGATAAACATAGTGGCTGCAGAAGGCTTATTGGCCCATACGAGGCATCTCCTATCTAAACACAAAGATTAATCCAGTGTAATTGGCCTGTTATGTTGGACATTGTCTTCTGTGTTGGCATCGATATGTTCTTGTCTTGTCCTTACTCTCATGGTGGGTAGAGTAAATAGTTCCGTGATTTGGGTGTTCATGGTAGGTCGCTCTATTCTTATGTGAATTGCCTCAAGAATTTGTAATCTTCTTGAATCTTGGGTTTTGTCTATTATGCAAGTATTCTTGTTCAACATTTCTCTTGTTAGAGTAATGTCATGGGCTTGTCTCATGTGATTCCTAGGGGCACCAGATTGAAGATGGCATGTCAAACGCCTCGTCAGCTTGGTCGACGTCATACCTATGTACTTACATTGAAGGTTACATCCTTCGTGGGGGCAAGTGTACATGTATACAACGCTTGACTGCTGTAGAGGGTTCTCCGTCGGCTTCGGGCTGTTTTTGATAAGGAGTTCGGAAGTCTTCTTGGTTTTGTAGAATATTATCAGGTTTATGTTTTGGTTAGGAGTAGTGCTTTTTACTCCTTTACGGATTATTTCTTTCATTATTCTTTCCTCTTTTATATGTTCACTGTGCATGGTTGATTTGTAATATAATTTTATTGGGGGTGTTGTGGTTTCTGTTCTAGGTTCTGAATTATACCAACGGTCCAAGTGTCTTCTTATAGCAGCGTTTATTTCCGCGTTGCTATATCCGTTGTTCACCAATACCTGAGTTACTCTTTCAAACTCTCTACTCACGTTGCTCCATTCAGAGCAGTGGGTAAGCGCTCGACGAATATAAGCATTGAGAACACTGGCTTTGTATCTTTGGGGGCACTCACTTCTACCGTTCAGGCATAATCCTATGTTGGTGGGCTTGGTATATACGTTGGTGCTTAAAGAGGTTCCTGTTTTTGTTATTAGTACATCCAAGAATGGCAGACTGTTATTTTCACTATTTTCATGTGTAAATCGGAGTACTGACTCTCTCTCTAGGTGTCTTTTTAGGTCAATTAGTTCATCTGAGTCTTTTACTATTACGAATATGTCATCTACATAACGGCAGTATACAGTTGGTTTTTGTCTGCTACTGAAGACCCTATCTTCGATGGTTCCCATATAAAAATTAGCAAATAAAACTCCTAAGGGGGAGCCCATTGCTACTCCGTCTATTTGTAAATACATGTCTCCTTGTGGACTGATGAAAGGGGCTTCCTTTGTACATGCTTCGAGAAGACTTTTCAAGTGTGGCTCAGGTATGTCTAATTTGGGGGTGCTCTCGTCTCTGTATACTCTGTCCAGTATCATTCCTATGGTTGTGTCGACTGGGACGTTGGTAAAAAGGGATTCAACGTCCAGGGAAGCGATGATTCCATCGGGCTGGGTAGATTTGATCAATTCTAGGAAATCTGCTGATGATTGTAGACTAAACTTACTTGGAGTGTATGGAGTTAGGAGTTCATTGAGTTTCTTTGCCAGGTGATAAGTTGGGGTTGGTATTTGGCTGATTATAGGGCGTAGTGGGTTACCTGGTTTATGCGTCTTAACATTGCCGTAGGCATATCCTAAGCCATAGTCGCCTTGAAGTTTATTGAAATGCACACTACCTTTCTTTGCGTTGATTGCTGTAATTGTTTTGTTTACTTTCCGCTTAAGGTCTTCTACGGGGTTCCTCGTGATTCGTTGAAATTTGGAGTCGTCACTTAGGATGTCGCTAATTTTGTTCATGTATTCATGGGTAGGAATCAATACATATGCTGCTGTTTTATCGGCTTTTCTTATTGTTACGTCTTTCAGATTTTTTAGTTGTTTCGCTGCTTCTTTGAGTCGTGGGGTTAAGATTGTAGATGAATATGTTCCTCGTTTTTTCCCTGCTTCTGCAAGTAGTTCAGCTTGAAGTGTGTCAGTGGTGATGACTTTTTTGTTGTCTTCTAGCTTATGGATATCGTCCAGAAGCATTTCGATTTCCAGGCGTTTTTGATGCATCTTTGGTTTAGATAAGAATTGACAATTTAGACCAAGATTTAAGAGGTCCTGGGTAAGATCATAAGAAGTCAGGTTAAAGTAGCCATCTTTAGGACGAGGGATTTTTAGCTGTCCACCGTTTAGGGATGTTAACTTACGGAGTGTCTTTGTTTCTACAAGAGTTTTATGTTGTTGTTTCAGGTTAAATAGTTCACTGTTGATGGTTTGCTTGAGTTGGATAGGGATGTCGTACTGGGTCCATTTGTTTAACAGATGCTCAGCTTGCTCTGTAAAGGTTTGGAGGGCTTCCTTCTTCTTGTTTAGTTGATGCCGAATGAGCTCTTGCCTATACCTATAGGTAAACTCTGTATTGCGGACTGCTGGGTCATGTGGGTTTATATTGGTGTATACTGGCAGCAGGTTTTCTTTCAAACATGTTTCATTGAATATGACCGCATATTCTGTATTTATTATTTTCTGGTTTAGGGCTTCTATCCCTCTAACTATTTTCTTAGCATCAGGGCTTAATTGAAATAGGAGTTCTCCAAAACATATATATATATATATATATATATATATATATATATATATATATATATATATATATATATATATATATATATATATATATATATATATATGTCGTACCTAGTAGCCAGAACGCACTTCTCAGCCTACTATGCAAGGCCAAATTTGCCTAATAAGCCAAGTTTTCCTGAATTAATATATTTTCTCTAATTTTTTTCTTAAGAAATGATAAAGCTACCCATTTCATTATTTATGAGGTCAATTTTTTTTATTGGAATTAAATTTAACATAGATATATGACCGAACCTAACCAACCCTACCTAACCTAACCAAGCCTATCTTTATAGGTTAGGTTAGGTTTGGTAGCCGAAAAAGTTAGGTTAGGTTAGGTAGGTTAGGTACTCGAAAAACAATTAATTCATGAAAACTTTGCTTATTAGGCAAATCGGGCCTTGCATAGTAGGCTGAGAAGTGCGTTCTGGCTACTAGGTACGACATATATATATATATATATATATATATATATATATATATATATATATATATATATATATATATATATATATGTATGTATATATATATATATATAGGGAAGGGAGTACCACCTCTGGCTGGAAGAAGGAGGACCCTTAGCCTCGGAGGAAACCACACATAACGCATTAGAGGGAATGTTTAGGTCCCCTCCAATACTGTTTCTGTGTGGTTTTCTCCTACCACCCCCTTCCCTTTTGATTTTTTGTTTGCTTTATTATGTATTTAAAGGTTACAAGATATACATTGGTTGATACAAAGAATGCTTAAAGGTTGTGGATCTCTTGAAGCTCCTCCGCTTCAGGACGGGAACCGAGGATGCAGCAAGCGTTTCCCCTCTGGATCGCCACACTGAGGCGCTGAAACAAAAAACTGGCAGCTGTTGGGTCTCTGGTGACGTCAATGAGCTTGGAACCCAATTCCTTGAAAAATCCCAAGGCACTCTTGCCCCAGGGGCCATGCGTCTCAGACGCTATGGGAACAAAGGTGTATCGACCTTCCAGTCGCCTGTACTTGACTGATTTCGCTGTTTCCTGTACAAGATGCAGTGAGTCACTGTGTAAGATGCAGTGAGTCACTGTACAAGATGCAGTGAGTCACTGTACAAGATGCAGTGAGTCACTGTACAAGATGCAGTGAGTAACAAGATGCAGTGAGTCACTGTACAAGATGCAGTGAGTCACTATACAAGATGCAGTGAGTCACTGTACAAGATGCAGTGAGACTGTACAGATGCAGTGAGTCACTGTACAAGATGCAGTGAGTCACTGTACAAGATGCAGTGAGTCACTGTACAAGATGCAGTGAGTCACTGTACAAGATGCAGTGAGTCACTGTACAAGATGCAGCTTGAGTCACTGTACAAGATGCAGTGAGTCACTGTACAAGATGCAGTGAGTCACTGTACAAGATGCAGTGAGTCACTGTACAAGATGCAGTCACTTGAGATTCACTGTACAAGATGCAGTGAGTCACTGTACAAGATGCAGTGAGTCACTGTACAAGATGCAGTGAGTCACTGTACAAGATGCAGTGAGTCACTGTACAAGATGCAGTGAGTCACTGTACAAGATGCAGTGAGTCACTGTACAAGATGCAGTGAGTCACTGTACAAGATGCAGTGAGTCACTGTACAAGCTGTACAAGATGCAGTGAGTCACTGTACAAGATGCAGTGAGTCACTGTACAAGATGCAGTGAGTCACTGTACAAGATGCATTTAGTCACTGTACAAGGATTAGTGAGTCACTGTACAAGATGCAGTGAGTCACTGTACAAGATGCAGTGAGTCACTGTACAAGATGCAGTTAGTCACTGTACAAGATGCAGCTTGAGTCACTGTACAAGATGCAGTGAGTCACTGTACAAAATGCAGTGAGTCACTGTACAAGATGCAGTGAGTCACTGTACAAGATGCAGCTTGAGTCACTGTACAAGATGC